ATGTTTGTACTACAAACTAGACCAAAACTACTTTGTTAAACTTATTTAGTTTTTGCAGTGTAGAATCAAGTTATGTTCCAAGTGAAACTTCTTCCACCAATCATTTGTGTTGATCTGTGTATTTCCATTTTCCAGTGTGATGGAGCAAAACGTGCCAAATAGTTAACATTTTTGGACCTCATGGCATGGTTGTTTAAAATTTGTTTTTATATTAATATAACAACGTGCAAAAAAAAAAAAAAATGCAGGCAGATATTTAGTTAGGACTGTCAGCTGGGGCGTCCATCTTTAGAAATGGCTGTTTGGTTCCCCGGCTGGAAGTGGAAAATTGAAACCCTGTGGCATCTTTTGGCAGAGTCGTCAAACTGCTTCCTCCTTCATTTCCCCGTTTCACAACCGCAAATCACATGATTTGTAATCCCTTGGCTCCGTTTTTGTGCCTCCCTTTTTTTGTTTTTCTTGTTTTTGATGTTGCCTCCTCCCTGAATTTTGCAATGCGTAAAGGTTCCCATGGACGCGGCTTCACTTTCCGTGACTCACGCAGCCCTCTGGAAGACAATGCCTTGCATTTATCGGCAGCCTCTCCTCCTTGGGTATTTGAATCAGATTAAGTGCAAGACAGCACAGGTTGGGAGGAGAGCTGCTATGTTGGTCGTCACCTTTGGAGCGTCGGGGGCGGGGGGCTCCCGCTTTGCCCCTCGGAGCGTCTTTAGCCCATTTCCTCTTCCCACTGCCATATTTGTTTGGTTAACCCCGAGCTTTTTACCACCCAACCAAAGAGGCGACTTGGATCTGGTGCCGCAAAAACAACTGCATCCTTCCTGCGCAAGAGTTGACTCAGCGGACTGGGAGGAAGGCGGAGCCTCTTTTGTGAGTGCGTGTCTGTGTCTCTGTGTGTGTGTGTGTGTGTGTGTGTGTCTCTTTGTGTGTGGTACGGAGGAGGGTGGGATCGGAGTTTGGGTGGTTGACTTTAGGATTGGTGTTCAGACAAAGAGCAGTACGGGGGAGGGAAGGGAAGGCGAGCCAGCAGAAGGAAGCGCACTGTTTCCACACAGCAGCCAACAGGGGCCAAAGGTGGCCCCTCTGATTCCCATCCGCTCCCATCAAGCTACTGTCTTCTAGGCTGTCTGCACTTTTTAAAAACAAGAGGAAATGTGAGGGAGGAAAAAACGAAAAAGAAATTCCGTAATATTTTGGCTTGAATCAAATGCACCTTGTGTTTCAGCTCTTAACAATACGACTGTCTCGTTTAACGTGTATTTTATTGTTTTAAGCGTTGCGTCTTTTTGTTGTTTAGTTTGATTGTTTGCTAAAATGATATGAGCAAACTTGCATGAAAACTTGATATGGCCTTAAATGGAAGAATTGACACCTAGTCGACAAGACATGTTCCATATTTAAATTTGTTTGCAGTTTTTTATATGTATGTGCTTGATTAAAGTTTCTGGATATAAATAGTGCTACAAAATGTTTCCCTTCTGGATTTATATAGCTTTGTCTCAATTTGTCATGTTTTATAGGGACAGTATTATGTGAAATCAACTTTTGAGTTTTACGTCATGTTATTCTCTAATCAAGAACATACCTGGAGTGAGAATTTTTTTTCTTTCTTTTTTCTCAAATCTGAGTATGGATTTGAGAAATCCTTTAATCTCCATGGCAACCATTCAGCTGTGCAAAAAGCCTGGTTGGACCTAACCCTGCCTCCAAGAATGAAGCTCCTCCTCTGAGCCTCCGTCTGCCTCCCTCCGCCGCAACTCCTTCAGACTAGCCAGCAGCAATTAGCAAACACCTAGTGGAATTGTGCATCAGCTGAGTTCATTAAGTGAGCTACTTCTCACAGTGCAATGCTAGTGAAACATCAAAGAAGAATGATATAGTGATGACTTCCTGTAGGCAGGGTTTCAGAAAATGCAGAAGTTTTTAAAGAGACAGTGGCTGAATTTAAAGGTGTTAATTTTCTTTGAGCTATCCCAAGAAATCACAATAAATAAATAAATAAATAAATAAATAAATAAATAAATAAAAAAAGCGGAATGAGAATAATGCTTTTATTACTGGTGTAAGAAAATAAAATGGATGAAAGAGTTTCAACATATTTCAGAAATAACCAAAAAAATTGGGGCATACTTCAAATGCAATATATATATTTTAGAAAGGTGCGTTCTTTAACCGAACATTAAAGATTCAAATAAGTAAGTCTTTCTGATTTCTAAATTGCTTTAAGCCTTTTTCTCAGAGATAGGCTTATTATTCAATACGTGGTGTAAAAACTGGACAAACACGAACTAATGGTGTACTTTTCAAAATAAAAGCAATTTTTAAAGGATCATAAGTGTTTTTTTTTTGCCCTTTAAATTGAAATTTTTTTGTTCCTTCTCTTTAAAAGCAAGTCTCTGTCAGATTGTGTTTTTAGCTATCTCTGTCACTAATTATGTGAGATGTGAATAAACAAGGATTTCAGTATGAAATATTTCAATAGAAATTGCTCCAACTAATTGGTTAAAAGCAAACAAACAAACAAAAAACAATATCAAATTAATGATAAATATTTTTTTTCACTTCATTTCACCTGGATAAAATATTTATTATTAACTATGTAATTGTATAATGATACAGTTTAAATAAATCGAGAAATTTAATTAAGCGGTTTATATGTTTCCAAAGGTAAATTTAATAAGCTTTAGTTCAGAACATTTATCAAAGTTAACTGAACGTACTTCAGTTTTTTTCAAAGGAAAATTGGTTTTTAAAGAGAACTTGCCACTCACAAAATGGCGGACGCGTTTAGGTATGGCAGTGTGCCGTCTACATTTCGCCGATTTATTTTGAAATCGGAAGTTTTGCATTTACTTCGTCCCCATTGGCGGGAGCGTGTCAGCTGACTTTGTTTCCTGTTGGGAGAGGAAAAGTTTTGAAACCCCACCCTCCGGCACAGTGGCTGTAAGCTACGACGTTGGAGTGGTCCGAGGTGCTGGCCGCTGAAGGCTGACCGAGGAAGAGGAACGGAGTAAGAACTTCTAACGGAACAGTTCCGCAGTTTTGACACCGTCTTTATGAAGCGGAGCACCGAAGTGACCCGGGCCCGGCGCTGGTCTCCCAACAAGAACTAAAGTTATCTGGAATAGTTTGTTTTTCTTTCTTTCGGTTTTTTCCCTCCTCAGGACTGAAAAGCCAAGCAGATTTGGAGAGCTCTTCCTGTTCCCAGAGTCGGCGCCTCGCAGTTTATGTATGAGCTCCTTCATAACACAGCCAGCATGGATGTTGTGGCGCACGGGAATGCGGGATTTCCTGTGTGGTCACCGCAGTGTTGCGTTCAGACGCACTTTTTGGGTCCTCGGGCTTAAGTAATGAACAGTGGTCAGCGCTTGAAACTTGTCGTAAAGCACTGGTTGGCTGGACTGAATGCTCCTTTTCCTGCTATTCTTCTCCTCCTCTCAGCGCTTCCTGCTTATGGTGGCCACTGCTCTTAATGGCTAAAAATACATAAAAACCGAGTATGAACTACCAAGTGTGTGGGAAATGTTGATTTGGACTCTTATCTGTAAGCGGTTTCATTCCTGAACATTAATTTTGAACTTTGACTCTTCGTACTTGCTGCCCAACAGGTGGTTGTTCTGAATGAGGAGGGGAAAGGAGGACAAATTCAGTCATAATGAGTTGATTCCAGAGTCTTTTAAACACAGGATGATGAGATGATAATCTACTCAAGCCATGTGCGGGGAAACCACACACCACATCAATCTTTCAGAGAGTTAATCACTGCTGACTTTTAGATATTTGATAAATGCTACGAAAAGCAAACCATCTGAGGACTGCTGAAATGGAAAGATTTGAGTTTAATCCAAGAACAAATGGAAGACATTTCACTTTCATTTGTCCCTGAATCCTGAAGCCCACCTGTTGGTCTGACTTTTGAACACACCTCATTGGTCCCTGATGAGACAACAACAAAGACAGGAAAGGGAGCAAGGTGCAATAAAGTACTCCTTTGTACTTTATTTTCAGACCCCTGGAGTGCGCAGTCGGATCCAGTCAGGCAATATAGTGGAGGTTTCATGGAGCCGCTGAAGAACATATTCAGTCGTAGCTCGCTGTCGAACTGGAAGAACTTGGATCAGTCCCAAAAAGGGAACTTCACCAACCCTGTATGGACGGTCTTGTTTGACTATGAGGCCTCTTGTAAAGACGAGCTCACCTTGCGTAAAGGTGACCTGGTGGAGGTTCTCTCTCAGGACTCTGAGATATCTGGGGATGAGGGTTGGTGGGCAGGTAAGGTCAACAACAAGGTGGGCATCTTCCCATCCAACTACGGCTCCTTCAAGCCTAGTGGATATGCCAAGCTACCAGGTACCAGCGTAGTGGAGGAGCTGAACCGTGCTGTGGTTGGCACCGTCGATCCCGAGGAGGTGGATTTCCGTGAGCTGAGCTTGGAGGAGGTGATTGGGGTTGGGGGCTTCGGGAAAGTGTATCGAGGTACATGGAGGGGAGAGCTGGTGGCCGTGAAGGCGGCCCGGCAAGACCCGGACGAGGACATCAGTGTGACAGCGCAGAACGTGAAGCAGGAAGCCCATTTGTTTGCCATGCTCACCCACCAGAACATCATCGCCCTGAAGGGGGTGTGCTTGCAGGAGCCCAACCTGTGCCTCATTATGGAGTATGCCTCGGGTGGGCCACTGAGCCGGGCGCTGGCCGGCCGCCGCATCCCTCCTCACGTCCTGGTCAACTGGGCCGTGCAGATAGCAAGAGGGATGGTGTACCTGCACAATGAAGCCATCGTGCCGGTCATCCACCGGGATCTCAAGTCCAACAACAGTAAGTCCTTAAAGTCTTTCAACTATAAGTCTTTCAACTTATAGTGTTATAGTCTTTAAACTATAACACCTGGCCATCTGTGTCTAACTGCTTTATTTAAGGTTAGGGATATAATCATAGGGACCTTAGTGGTTTCTAAAAGGCTTTTAGGTGTTTATAAAGGTGTCATGGCAATAGCAAATGACTGTTACCAGTTATAAAGTTTTAAAACTCTGGTTTTAAAACAGAAAAAAAAAAATAAAATAGTGTAATGCAGGTCTGTCCTTCTCCCACTTGTTTCTGTGGGTGGCTGAAAGCAAGTTGTCGGTGTCATTGTCAGTCGTTCTCTGGTTTGTAAATTTTTTCCAGTCATGCTGAACCTAACCTTTGACACTAGAAAGAAATTCACACATGGAGTGAAGGGAGTGTCAGAAAAATGGGTGACAATGAGGGGAGTTCTGTCACTGCTCCAGCAGGACTAAATGAATGACTCAATTACTCAAGAGAACATTGTCACGTTCCTCATCTGATTGAAAAAAGCATCATTCATGTGATGTTATATCACGTTGAACCAGGGAAATATCATAAACCTGCAGGACCTGGTTCAAGGCCCTCACAATTTTTCATTGCGGGTTGCTAATACATTTTTGTGGTAGCCCAATCACATGACTTGCATGCTGACAAAAGCAGGCCTCAGTGATAGAGACCACAAGGTCTTTGAAGGAGCCGTCGACGGGACAAGAATACTTTGCTGCCGAGCAAAGGTCAGGAAATGTTTCCGCATCAGCACCTTTGGGACTCATCCCTCGGACTTTGAGACCTTAAGGAGGCGGCGTGTCGGCTCTATCGCACAGAACACATCTCTGCTGTTCCAGGACAGTTTCTATCTTCCAGCTATAGTTTTCAGCAGTCGTCTCTATGGTGTTTTCATTCCTTACATTTACCGTTGTGCAGTTCTGTCATTTCCTGAGAAATACGGCTGTGACTGGTGAAGTTAACCCTCTTGATTCGAGTCGTGTTTATTGCACACTTTGAGGGGAGGAGGGCATTATGCAGCACATCCCAAGACATCCCTCCTCCGTATGCATCAGCCTCAGTCGTCAGATCGTTGACATGATTGTCATCACAGACGTCTTCGCCCTCGCTTATCTTTGCCTCCCCCTGTCAGGGTTTCTCTCCCAGATGAAAACTCTTCTCCTGCAGTGCAGGAGAAGAAGAAGAAGCAGGGAGTTATGGTAATATGGTGTTTGTATATGGGGCAGGCCAGCTCCAACACAATCCCTCTCTGTGTGCGCCGCGAGATCATATCGCTCTCCTGCCTCCTGCTGCCTCTTGTTTTTTAATTCTTCTCTCAAGCTTTTGTCCCCGGCCTGCCTCTACATGTCTCCATACAGACGTAGCCTCGTTGTGTCACTGAGCAACATCCTGTTGTGTTGGAGGAAGGATAGAAGAAAGATTGGTGGGGGTGGAGGGATCTCACCAAGACAATGTCTTTTTTTGTTTTTGTTTAATAGGTTTGCAGATTGGCTTGACAAACAGGTGCAGGAGCATCGAAGGGGGATCTTAAAAGGAAATCAAGCAGAGCTACTTGAGCGATTTAGTTGGTAGTTCAGCAAAAAAAAGATCAGCCTCTGAATGAGGTGTCAGTTCCTCAGAATATTGATGCAAGTTCTTCTTTCTCGAGGTGCCATTTTATTTCATAAATCCGTCACGCTCGTTTTGTCTCCTTTCTTTTATATCTGTATCCCCAAGTGAGCTGTATTGCAACGTTTTGCTTTTAGTTGTTGTTGTGATCTGGTCAATCGAAAACCACAGGTTAAGAAAATGACGAGCGCAGCATAAAAAAGAGAACTTGGGGATAATTGGGCTCATCTGTCACAGTGATGGATGGAGGTGCAAAGTCATTATCCTCGCAGGGCTCATAAACAACAGCCAAGAGTTGCTGTTGAAGCTAATGACCAGCAGAAGATGCTGATTAAACGGGAGCGTGCTGGAGAGGGTGCATTGTGGGGGCGCTTGGGTCAAAGCCAGAGGGCCATAATTTGAATTCCAGTGAACATGGACAAAGAGAAGAGACTACAGGATTGTGTCTGAATGTGTGCAGAGGAGTTGTACTTTTGGCACGTTACAGTTTCAGTTTTTTTTCAACTGTTATTTCTGTGGGACTTTGCATGAACTGAAATCCTTTTAAAGTCCCTTTGATGCACACTGCCAATCAGGTGGACTAAAGAAGAACATCTTTCTTAGAAGTAAATCAGATTTGCTTTTTTAAAATAAAAAAAACAACAACAAAAAAACAAAAGCATTTTCATTTTTAAAAATAAGCATGTCTATAAAGCTAAAGAGCTACTTTAAAACTATAATTGGTAAATTTTAGACTCTACCCAAGCAGGTAATAAACCTTATAATATCAGTTATACTTGTGTGAAAAACAGCAGAACAGCAAAAAGCATTCTGCCCAACAAGCAACTGAAAACTATGGATGCACCGATCCACTTTTTTCACTACCGATACAGATACCTGAGATTTAGTAACGGCTGATATCTTAACCAAAACAGAAGAACAATGCTGAATTGACTTAAATCACACTGTACTGAATTACAAATGTATTTGATGACTCAGCACCAGCACTGGACGCTTAAATTCACCAATATCTTCACAAGCTAGGTCAGACATATTAACACAACACAAATTTAATTTGTTCTCTCAATTCAATTAGGAGTATAATAGCCAATGTCAAATAAGTAACAAAGAAACTGAAACTGACGAAAAAACAATAGGTTGACAACCTTGGTCAAAAATGTAAAAATAAACTGCAACAAACCTTTCAAATAGTTCAGAAAGTGCAATTAGGAATTCTAAGTGTAATGTAAAATAAATAATGAAGCATGATGTCGCTTAGTTAGACCGAACAGATCTGCCCAGTGGATCAGATACATTGTCACCGATACCCGATCTAGAAATGTTTTTCAATATCGAGTCAGTGCATTGCTATTGAAGACCACAACAAAAGTTTATTCCAATACATAAATCACCAATAAAATAGTAAGAACTGCTATAATCAGACAACTTACCCTTGATTGACTGACTGATTGAAAGTATAAAAAAAATTGAGTGCACCTGTAAATTCAGTAAATAATGCAACTGCAAAGTCAATAAATCAACCATAATTTCCTTAATTTTGGGTGATTAGCCAATACTTGCATGTGAAACCAATGTAGGCATGTATCCAACTTAGCAACTATGTTGTAAATTTTCAGACTAAAAAAAGTTGGTATCGGCAATCTGCCAGAAATCTGCAATTGATGCACTCCCCACTTTTTTTTCCCTGTTAAATAAATGTATCAAAGCTAAGACCTTGATGTAATACAGCACAGTCACATTCACTAGGTTACACAGCGTGCAGTGATGATTAGCTAAAAGGCGTCCAACGAAACCAGTAGCTTGTTTCGAGTCATCTTGAATAAATACATGGCGACAGTGTGGAGGAACAACTTCCTTTAAACATGAGGAAACTTCCAGTAAACCAATAAAAGTAAAAAATAAAGTGAAGCTAAATAATAAAAAGAAATACTTGAGAATATTTGTTGAAATTCAAGATAGCAGTGTTGGCTCTTCTTCAGACTAGCCAGCAGCAATTGACAAACACCTGGTGGAACTGCACATCAGCTGAGCCTATTACACAAGCTACTTCTCAGTGCAATGCTGGTAAAAATGTTGTTAAATGGTTCATGGAGGAGCCATGTTGTGACGACTTAATGAAGGCGGAGTTTCAGAAAGAACAAGAGCTTCTTAAACAGACAGAGGCCCAATTTCAAGGCGTTATTCTATGAATTTAAATTATTTTAAGTCATGTTTTATATTTACAGCATTTTTTTTAACACCTGAAGGTAGCCTAGATACTTGATTGTGCTATAAAATGGCACTTCATGCCTATTTTAAAACCTCCTTTTTGCATCTGTTTATGATAAAGGAACCAGCTCTGGCTTTTAGGTCAAATTTGCTTTGACCTAAACAATCTTTATGTATGTTAGAACTATGGGCCACTGAGTCTCTAATCAGAAATGGATTATCAGTCAGCGACATGTTTTTCGTCCTTGTATTTCACAATCCGTCAGGTTCAGCTGTGCTCTTTTCACCCTGTGTGTTTTTTGTTTTTTTATTTTCCTGCAGAAAGCCTTCATAGACCCAAAACCAGCTATATGCAACACCACAGCACATAAAACTTTGCAGAGAGCTTTAGTTAGAAATGCTTTAGGGGGGAAATGCGCCAAGCTAAGCACTCTCTGGGCCGGTGCTTAGAGACTTCTTTCTCAGGAAGAAGCCGCAGATAGATCTTGGATCAACATGGCATTTTTTTTTTTTTTTGCCGCTAGTGGACAAGCATCTGATGCATCTCTTTACCAGCATGTTTTCATTCAGGGGCTCCAATGTCCCACGATGTCGCGCACTTAAAAAACAAAACATCAATAGTGTGTGATGTTTCCTGCATGTAGGGAATTGCTGTCCCTGCTTGTATTATGTTCTTGATACATTTTTTTTCTTATGACTGTTTAAATTTAGCAAGTTAAATGTTGAGCTGATATAGCGATGGGTTCCTTTGATGATCAAAAGTACACAAGGTTGCTTAGAGTTAAATAAGGTTGTGAAATTTATTCTCAAATTATGCGCAGGCAAATCACATTGGCAATAAATTAAGCACTAAAGAAATAAACCATGTGTAACATAATCTGTACCAACTCACACTAGAGACACTGCCATCATAATTTTCTGTCGAATTTATGATCTCGGTTATTTTTTTCTTCAAGGATTTGACTTACTGTTACAGATTTTATCTGCACTGAGAATATTTGTCTCAGCTTTTCTTCCATGAGTGGACATTAAGCACTAAAACAGAGTCTTTGAAAAGAAATAAAAACTTTTAATCTGACTCAAGCATTTTCATATTACCAGTTAGAGCAGTTAGCAAGGTTAGCATTATAAAACCTCCAGTCTCCACGGGCCACAGCCGTCTGCTACTA